CTCATCGGTATTTTTTCAGTGATGGAACCCGGTAACTTAAGCCTCGGGACTTGGAGTGGTGAACCACATAAGGCCCCGATAGGTTAGGCATGTTACTACTGGGAAACCATTTAATCCGGAAGGTACATTTCCCATCGTTCTCCCTAGTTATCTTCTGTTCCAAGTTTTCTTTTCTGTCTTTTCCTCCAAAATTCTACTTTTCCGAATCTGTGGAAGCACACTGCGAATCTTCGTATTCCCGACAGCAGTGATCTTTGTGGCAAATAATGACCGTTCACTGTCTCACATTGATGTGGTAGACGATTTTGCCGTCGTCCGGGTCAGTACTACCGCCTAGCCACCGGGACCTTATGTGGTTCGCCATTCGAAGTTCCATGGCTAGGTTGCCGGTTACTTTTATCTCCCTAAGATTACTACAACTAACAGAATCACTTCTCGAGCGTGCTCACTAACGTTCGTAGCTTGAACCACAATATTGATCCTGTACATCAATTTCTCCAGTCCACTTATCCTCTTGCTCTATTTTTATCCGAAAAACAACTTTCTGCTTCCAGACAATACCCATTTTCAGTTTCTTACGTTGTTCTAACGGTGACGTCCCGACTTTTATCTCCGTCTTATTACGGGATATCGAATCACCACGGAGAAAAGCATGTGGTTTTGCTCAATATATCAAAATTTTTCGATCGTACTTCCCTTTTCCGACCTTTTTTAACGCGACAGTCTCATGCAGCCTACACGCAGACTTACAATTCCTCACTGTTTAAACACAGGATCAATAAAGTGAATGCACATCTCCCTTCCACACATATTCTTTTATATTACGTCTTGTGTTTGAGGAATACATCTCTCTCTCTCTGATACGTTTTGTGCGTTAAAAATGAGCCAATGGTAGTAAAGTATTGAGTCAGAAGCTGGTTCAATGCAACCTTTCAACAAAAGGAAATCAGTAGGAAGTAATTTATTTTCGCTTTAAGTGTTGCCTTTGAAGGTGTAAGCCACATACCGAACATGGCTACACTGGCGTTCAGGCTGTCCAGAAAAGCTTGCAATTTACCTGCATCTTCGCTTAGTAGCATAATGTCGTCTGTATACTCAAGATTAGACAGTCTGCCACCTGGGAGTAAGTCGATGTTACTATCCTCGCACGAGGATAGGGCTGTTTCCATAATCAAATATATAGCAAAAATGAACAGAAAAGGAGAGAGAGGGCAACCCTGACGAACACCACTTTCTGTGGTGAAATCAGGTGAAAAAGTGCCGTAAGCTCGGACTCGGCTTCGGCTATTAGTATAAAGGGATTGTAATAGTGAAATCAACTTCTCGGGCACACCTATCCGACAAAGACAGTGCCAATGTTTAGAGCGGTCGATTGAGTCGAAAGCCACTTTCAGATCCAAGAAGATGGAGGGTCTACGAAGAAAGTACCGATGCTGCAGAGTTTGGCAAAGATTGAAGATGTGGTTGATACAACCTCGACCTGGTTCTCACGCGGGCACTCTTCACGTGCGGCAGACAACCGATGGAGTATAATACCAGCGAGAATTTTAGAGAAAATGTTGATTAAACTAATTCCTCTGTGGTTTTCACAGGAGAACCTGTCGCCTTTCATATAAATCGGTATGCTCACCGATTCACACCATTCAGCTAGAACCTCTTCTCTATTCCCACACTGAGCCCAGGAGTTCCGTCAACTCCAAGACTAACGCTGAGCCTTCATCCTTAAATGCCGATGGGAACAGCCCATCTGGACCAGAGGCCTTGTGCCTTTTGAGGTAACTTATTTCCCGGAAAACCTGCATTTCAGAAGGACGACTAGCATCAATTGGGAGTATTTGCCCAGTCGAGGTTGAGGATGATAGATCAGATTTCGGTGAGGGGGGGGCAGCTGAACTAAGCCTCGAAATGTTCAACCCATCGATCAAGACGGCGTTGCTGATCGTGAATCAGTGTGCAATCAAATTCCTTAATTACCTCGCTTACGCCTATTTTCCTGGGGCCCGTATTTCTAATTAGGCGGAAAAGATTGCAACTATTACCTATAGCCGCAGATTTCTCCATTTCTTTAAACTTTTCTATCCACCACTTCTCACGGTCATTCCTCAGACTCTTGATGAGCTGGCGTTTGAGGGAATTGCGCCCTGTGTTATGTGCCATCAGGAGGGAGGGTTCTAGGGGCGTCCAGCAGGGTAACCGAGGTCGACGAGATCCACCGTTTGTGTTTTGAGCTTGCCGCAGGGTCTGACGTTGTTTTTATCAATATTTGCATAGCTTCCTTGATTTACTTCCAATGTTCATTGAGTCATTCGGTTGATGGTTGGACTGAGAGGCGATCGGAGAGCTCCGCTTCGAAAGCCGATTTGCAACAATCGCAGACGCTGTATCGTGGGTATCCGTTGTGGTGGTTTTTGCGGTTGTTTGCCAGGCGTAAGGAGAATTCGGCTCGTAGCAAGGCGTGGTCTGCATCCACAGGTGTTGACCAGTAAGAGCGGAAGTCTTGAATTGATCCCCTCCAGCGGTAACTGGAGGGGAAGTGTTTGGTGATCGCGGTCTTTACAAAGTAATGAGCGCAAAACATAATCCGATGCATGCAAAGATGGCATGCAAAGAACCTCAACTAAGCACTGTAATGAGGGTAAATTTTGAATTAGATGATAAGTTACCACAGCTTCTGAAGGGAATCGAACGAAACTAACCTTGAACAAACAAGACATACTAATCTAACGACTTATTACGCCCCTAAAAGCCTCAATATGGTGGAGGGTGGGGTGTCGTGAGTTGCGACTGGTCGTTACACCAGTTGCGCGTCACGAAACGCCTTTGTTGAGGAAGCTCTACTCACTACCTTCCCGTGGCTTCCCATCAGGGTGAGAGGGCAAAAAGCCATCTTACGGGGATACGAATGAGTCGGTGAACCACTGACAAAAGAAACCGAGAAGAGGCGTATGAACCACAAACATATGCACACACACACTGATTCTGGCAGTGATCACCGGCTTAATCGTGTTTCGAGGTGTTTTGGGCACTTTGGACGTCCAAAGGACGCACGATTCGATGGACAAGACACCAGCTCCCAATGAATTGCGGTTTCTAATGACCACCTCGCTGTCTTGCGGGTGAGGCTTCTACCAGCTTAAAGCCCGGATTCTGAATCTCCCAAGAAAAATTCACCTGCTTTGGCCTGGGCAACCTGGCGATATTCCGAAAAGTAGCAAATAAATAATTTCCAGCACTTGATCAATCACGGGCAAACATCCCGTGACGAAATTTAACCAGATCTCCGTTCACAAAGAGACGAATGAACGTATATACAAGAGCGCTTAAATAACAATATCGGGATGAAAATTCAGAGGGAATCAAGTACTGTAACGCTAACAGAAATCAGGTTGGGATATTGTACTGTGCGTTTATGTTGTGCATGTGAATTCTTTTGCATTCACACATGTCCAGGGGCTTTTCAAGGTGGCCTGTTTGAAGTTGCATTCCGAACAAACTGCATTACTGAATGGCTTGTGACTTCTAAATAAAAGACTGTGCAATGAGTATTTACCATACGTTTAACCAGGCTTGTACTGATAATTGATATATTCTAATTCAACGAGTACAATGACAATTTGTCATTGAATATGATTCATAACGGATTGGAATAAAGGGGTATTTCAAAATGATACGAACTCACCTTTAACAGCAAGCTTGTTTTTCTTGCTTGAGAACAGACCAGGTATCGATCGAGATCGGGAAAGTGAAGGTTTTGTTGGAGTATTATTCAATATTGATATGTGGCGCACGGGTCGTAAAGTGTCTGAGTCAGGTCGTGAATGAATCCGATTTGCAATTGGTGACGAATCAAATCCGCGACTGAGGGAAACAGTACGTGACGACGGTGACAATCTATGTTTATCGGGTTCCCGACTTGGCCATGAATTGCATGAGTCCGAATCCAACGCTTGATACGAGGAGTCTGTTGGATCTATGAATATTGTTGAGCATATATACCGATCACCTGGAATCGGAAATATAGATTTCATTTTCAGTGTTTAGGAATACGTTGTGATCATAAGTACAGTCAATCTCCTGCTATGTCGCACCCCTGAGAAGTCGCACCTTCCAATATCTTCCCACTTTTTCGAAAACCCGAAACAATCGTATGTCTAATAAGGTAGTTTCTGACTATGCGATGTCGCGAACCCCCAAACATGTCGCAGTTCCCGATACATACTCACTTGGTCGTTGACCGATGTTCGGGACGACCATTGATCATCCACCCTGAAATGTCGCACTCAACCAATGGCGTTACACGTAGTGTGACGCGTTCATGGCACTGTTCACGGATTGGATAATCCTAGCGAGGAAGTCACACCGATGCAAGTGATCGGAGACACTGTCATTTGACGTCAAAATGTGCAACGGCCTATCGATCAGAGAGAAGCAGAATGTGTTGGAAATGCTGAAATACCCAGGTGTAACTCAGAGCTCCGTAGCCAAGTCACTTGGAATTTCACGGAAAACTGTCTACAATGTTGTATCCCAGCGAACGACTATCGGGGAATTTTTAAACGCTGGTGCATCTGAGGGAAGATGCCACCTGAAAACCAACGAAAAATTCAAGGCAGTGAGTCAGGCAACTTTGGCTTGGTTTACCGCTGAGGGAAAAGTATGAAAAGTTCCCAATGGTGGAGCATCGTACGTAAGTAGGCAATCCAGCTAGCACAAAGATTGCATCATAATGACTTCAAGGCTTCCAAAGGTTGGTTTCGCTCTTGGTCAGACAGACATGGTATTCAGTCGTACAAAGTAAGAAACAAGCAACTCATGTGCATTACTTTATAGGTCCGTGGGGAAAGTTTAGCGGTACCATATGATGCAGTGGATGAGTTTCGAGCCTTCCATGGAGTTATAATTCTTCAAAGAACGCATGGATGACTTCTACGTCACTTCACAGATGGCTGTCCGATGTCAACCGCAAAATGGTTTCTCAAAGACGATCTATTTTACTATTTATGGACAACGCCCCTTGCCATAACCAAGCTGCAGTATTTTCCAACGTCAAATTGTTACGGCTGCCTCCGAACCGTTCTTCGATGTTACAACCAATGGATCAGGGCGTGATTTGGTCTTTCAAATGTTCGTTTCGGAAACATTTACTGGAATTTGTTCTGTCTTTGATCGAAGATGAGCAATGTTTCATGAAAGCCGAGGTAAACATTCTCATGGTCATGCATCTGGTCAAGAAATCTTGGGTGTCTGTGCATCCACACGTACTGATCAACGCTTTCATGAAAGCAGGGTTCAAATTCACATTGATTCAACCGATGATGCAGCCGCCGGGATAAATGCGATCTGATCGAGGACTTTACACATTGTGTTTATTGATGACCGTCTTTTTGAAGAAGAAATCGCCTGTTTGGAAGATGATGATGAAATGGGTTATTTAAAATTTTTGTATCAAGTCTCTTTTTTAGTCTGTCGATGAATTCGTTTCGTATCAAACTAAGCATCGCAAAGAAGAAGATGAATGCGAGGCAGTGAATGCCCCGCAAGTTATCTCAATCAGAGAGGCGCAGAAGTTATTGGATCAATTGATGCTCTTTGCCTTGGCTAATGCTCGGAGTTCGGGTCGATTATTGGAGTGTACAATTGATTTTAACAGTGCGTTTATTGATTTCCAACGGAGAGCTAAGCTGAGATAAACGACCATTTATGATTTTGCTAAAAATACATCTTTCTAATCTGGGAAGGTTTTTTTGCTATTCTGTGGGGCACTAAACTGAAATATGAGGCATTCGAATGTGGTCATTTTTGCTACAGTGGTCACCAAAGCCACGGTCATTCGGTGTATCGATGGCCTCTGTAGTTCTAACGTACAAACGGGTGAACGATATTCGCGATTGACTGGTAAGCGGGTGAGTGGAGTGAGCTGTCAGATCCGAGCGATCGATGAACACCGTCACACGGACGCACTTGTGTGAATAAATGAATGATACTCTCACTCGGCCTAGAGCACCGATAAAATTAGACAGGTCACCTGCCAAAGGTCATAGTAACCAGGGTCTAAGGAGAATTTGTGAGTTGCACTTTTAGCTTATAAATCTCTTGTGGTGATTCTCTGTCAACACTTAGACAGCATCAGATTCGGAACCTGTCCTTCTCCGGTGTCGGTCCGAAAATCGCACCACCGATCGGGTTCATTTAACGATCGAATGGTTCAGCCGCAACAAGGGACCTGGTGCTTGTTCAGTTAACCTGAGCGAGAAGCCACCCCTTGTCTACAACCCTGTCTTAGGCAGACAGTGAACTTTGACTGCGCAACAAAAATGCCATCAGCACACAGATGGACCGAACGTGACAACAATATAATCACAAAAAGTAGAAGACAACGTGAACCGATGGAGTAATTGGACTATGTTACTATCCACATAGCAACATGACATCTTAAGTTGAAAAGGTATGGCTTATGAATCACGTTAAGACATCACTAGTTGAACTTAGTCCAACCAACAACAGTCATGACGAATACATCAATCGATTTGAACATACACCGGTAACAACAGAAATGAACGAACGAATAGATGTCTACAGACGTTAACGATACACACTTTTCAATAGAAATTCATGAATAGATTGCACAACGAACAATCAGTTGGAATATGGGGAGGAAGTTAATGTTCTGATATTCAGATATTTCACTCATTTTAGATGTTATTTCCTTCTCACTGTATTCGAACTGGTTCACCTTTATTTTCCTTCAATGGGTTAAAAATGATGTCATTATTATAGCTAAACAGTTGTATATTAAAGTGGAATCAATTCTGTGGTTAGCCTAACGTTGCAACGGAATGGAGGAATATGTGGAATTAATACCGGATTATTGGGTCAGAAAAAGTTCCCCTGAAGAAAGGTAGGTAGATTCGGGATAACTAGACATATGGAACTGCAAAGGGCTGAATACTGGATGCAATGTACTAATAATAGGCTGAGGGCGTCATAAAATATTTAAATTTCCGTGATACATACAAGATACGCAGCACGGTAGATTTAAATTCCGTTATAAATAAACAGTTTATAATTATAACTATTGGGAACAACTAACAGGATTAACCTACTTTCATCGATCCGGTTTATTTTGTCACAAAACTGTCCACCGATGTTTATACTACTTATTAGCACCTACTACTGTTTACCCTGCCGTCGCAGTTCCTGAAATTTACCCACTTTTTCGAATTCCCGAGAGTGCGACATAGCAGGAGATTGACTGTATACATATTATGAGCCACTAAAAAAGCAAACTGATCAACGGAGCA